TTAGTGAGCCCTTTTCTCAAAATAAAAAATAGAAAAAGGAACTGAGGATGTAGCTCAGTGCAGAAATCTTAGGTTCAGTCTCTAGTACATCAAACAGAGCAAAACAAACAAAAAACACCAGAAATCAGTTTTAGAGTAAAAGTTAAATCCACACCTACTACATATTCTCCTTTTCCACCTACCTATTCTCCCCTTTATTCAACTTCTGGTCCCTGACCCTCTGGAAGATCTGTTGGATTTCTGAGCCCTGTCTTGAACCTCTCCTCTTCAAATCCAGTCCCATCTCTGCAGGAACTCCTTTTACTCCTAAAACTCTTCCAACTTCCTCAAAAACCCTTTTAAACACTGAACTGTCTACTTTAATTTCCTTTCTCTGCAAGTGCTCTGGCCTGGTCTGTAGGCTACCGTGTACAGAGCACTTACAAAAATACTTTTAGGAAAGAAACTTGGCAGAGGCTCCCACTGCTGCACCCTACAGCCCCCAACTTCCTGGGCTCTGTGATTGAACTGTCAGCTCCAGATCTGTGCGGGCTCCACAGGGGAACACTTCCATACAGTGTTTTCAGAAGCAAGACAAAGGAAACAATTTTGATTGGTCAGAGTGGCAAGCCCTTGGTTAGGAGCCAGTTTCTGATTGGTAGTTTCCAGTTTCATTTCACTGTTTACATTGGGCGTGGAAGGAATTTATTATACAGAAATATAAAGTGCCAGAGCCATCCCAGACTAATGGCTTCCCAGTTAGGATGCTATTAGCACTTCTCTAGGCTGTGTTATCTCTCTTAAAAAGACTGTAAGACACAGGACTGCTCTACATGACGACAAATCACTTATGAACCGGACCCATTAACAATCCATTGCTCCTCTTTCATGGGGGGAACCCCCTCCATTCTACATGGCTGCCTGGCAGCTATAAACACGGTTTCAAAGCCATGGAGTACCTCTTAGATACACCTATGAACAACCCACATTTACTTCTGAATTCCAGAAGATGAACTTTCCAGGACACATAATCTGTTTGGGTTTGTTTGTTTGTTTGTTTTTGTTTTTGAGACAGGTCTCACTATATAACCCAGGCTAGCCTTGAGCTCATTGTGTAGCCCAGACTGGCCTTAAACTCACAACAATACTCCTGCCTCAGCCTCCTGAGTGCTGGGATTACAGGTGTGGGCACCATGCCCAGCAGGACACATAATCTGGCTGTGCCATTATTTTGCCCACATGAAACATTAGAGACATATTTTTCTGCCCACTCTGAAATCATCCCAGTTTGCATAGCTCACGGCATTTACTACAGCTGGCACCCTGGAAAAAAGGAGAAATTGCCACTATTTACACTGAGTCTCTTAATGCTTTGGAGTTTGCCGTGGTGTTGGCACAATGTGGAAATCCCATAGATTCTTAACCTCTTGCTTGGCCCTCCTATTTCCAAAGGAAATGTTATTGCTTCCCTTTTTCCCAGTCTGAATGTATCTCCCAAATGCATGAAAACTTAATGTATAGGGAAGCACCCTTTTTCCACCCAGTTCACAAAACTGTCTTTATCTCTGACTGATATTATTATCAGATAAATCACCCTGGTCTGAAAAAGAGATACAAAAAAGTGCCAAACAACTGTCAGATGGATTATATGTTATGTCAAAGCGACTACCTGTGGCATCTTTTTATGATCTTTTGGCTTATACTTAGCTCTCATAGGACAGGGCAGATGCAGATGGAGAGTAGTTAAAGAGCTAAAAGGGGCCAGGTGGGATTGGACACATTTGTAATCTCAGTACTCTCTGAGACTGAAGCAGAAAGACCTCAAGTTCCAGCCTAGCCTGGGAAACTTAGTGAGATTTTGTCTCAAAATAAAAAATAAAAAGGCTGGGGATGGGATGTACTCAGTGGAAAGGCCCTGGGTTTCATCCCCAGTAACACACACACACACACACACACACACACACACACACACACACACATACACACACACACACACTCAATCACAGCTAAATTGCTTCTGCTCTGGCATCCACAAAATTTCTGACCAAACTTATTTCTCAAAGCTCTATTTATAAACGTCACCAAATTTCTGGAGGAAACTAACTTGCCTCAAGATGTCCTCCAGGGCTCACAATGCCCTTTGGGGTACCCAAAATAGCTTTGTCTCCAACTTCAGGCTCTTCCCACTGCCTGGTGCTTGTTCCTGTGTTTAGTGGATGGACTGAAGGCCATCAGACAGAAGGACTGGTGCCGAGACAGCAGTAAAGAGATTAACAATTGATACTATTCCTCATTTTGGCCTTCCTTTGTGGATTAAATCAGATGAAGGAACACATTTTATAGCAGAAATAAACCTCTTTCTTCCAAAGACTGTGGGATGCTCATCACAGTTTCAAACCCCATGCCTTCCGCAGCCCTCATGGAAAATGGAACATAAAGATTGAGACAGAAAAAGGACTTTAGAAAAAACAGCCAAAAAGCTGAACTTAGATGTCCAGAAGCATTACCCTTGGACCTTATAAAAATCCATAACACTCCAGACAGAAGGTACAGATTAACTTTATTTTTCAGTACTGAGGATTAAACCCTGGGCCTTTGGGCTGAGCTACATCCCCAGCCTTTTTCATTTTTCTTCTTTTGTTAGACACAATCTCACAAATCCCAAAGTTTCCCAGGCTGGGCTTGAGCTTGTGATCCTCTTGCCTCAGTCTCCCAGAGTACAAGGATTACCACACCACCACACAAGATTCTAACTAGTATTCTTTTTTTTTTAATTTTATTGGGAATTGAATTCAGGACCTTGTGTTTGCGAGGCAGACAGTAGCACCACTGAGCTAAATCCTAGCCCTCTAACTAGCATTCTTAAAACGTATTACCAATAGGCAAAAAAGGGGAGATCCTCTGCTAATTTGCCTCACCACCCCCTTTCAACCAGGAGATGGGTCCATCAAGGATCTTCAAAGAAACCACATTGTCTTACTTTCTCATTGCCGGAACAAAATACCTAACAACACAATTAATGAAAGAAGAGGTTTATTTTGGCTCACACTTTGTAGAGATTTCAGTCCGTAGTCAGCTGGCTCAAATTCAGGGAGTGTGGTAGAGGAGACACAGTCCAGGGATGGGCAGACAGCGAGGGATGGAGGGCGGAGGGAGATATATGCTTCTAGGCCATGGCCCAGCAACTCATCTCTTCTCACCAGGCCTCACCTTCCAACATCATATCCAGCCATAAACTCATCAGTGAATTAATCCACTGATGGGTGCCACACCTTCATGATCCAAGCACTTCCCCAAAGCCCCACCTGTGAGAGCATGGGAACATCTAGATATAAACCACAACACACACACACACACACACACACACACACACGCACGCACGCACGCACGGTCAAGTCGGAAGGGCTAGGACCAGATGAAGGGGAGCACCTCCATGCCCTAAGAATCAAAGAAACCCTTCCTGGACCCATATGAGCCACACCAAACTCCACCCAGATGAGCTCTCTCATCACCTGGGAGAGCATCCCTGTGGGTGACTTTGAAGGATTACCCCTTATTAGAAATGTGCTGAGGTTTTTCTCTCTTCTGTTCTTTCATTTCTATTCGAATCTGTTATTTTCTCTTTGCAGCTACTTGGCTACTAAACTGTTTCTTCTCTCCATAGTCAAAAAGTCAACTTTTTAACGTGTGAAACTTCTAGGGGAATTCTGAATGTGGAAAATGAGCAAGTTCTGGATGCACCATCCTAAAATATGCCAGTCTTGAGTTAAAGACACAAGGAAAACAGCAAATGGAAGATCGTTCTGCCCTTCTTTCTTCTTAAAAGCAAAGGATGAAATCTCCTTGTGGAAGAAGCTATTAGGGCTTCAAAGTGGCTTTTCATCAAAACTCGTGTTCAAGTTTAATTGCCAGCATAACAGAACTGAAAGGTAGTGGGGCCCTTAAGGGTGTTGGGTCACAGGGGCAGAACCCTCATGAATGGATTAATGCTTGTCTTGTGGGGGTGGGGGTGGGCTAGTTATCACGGGACGCCTTTCTCTTTGGCACACATGCCTCCTTTCACAGGAGCCTTTTTGCCCTGAAGTCACAGCAGAAGCAGTTTGCAATGCCATGCTCCTGCACCTCCAGGACCGTGGGCCAAAATAATCCTCTTTCCTTTATAAATTACCCAATCTCAGGTGTCCTGGTACAACAACCAAACACTGACGAAGACAGAAGGGAAATGTGTACCAACACGCCTTATTGAACTAATCCTCATCTTCTTAAGTCACTGCTCTGCCACAGGAACAGTAATGTGCTCTAGCTCAAGCCCCTTGGGTCTGTCCCTCTTCATAATTTTTTGCCCTCTGTTATAGATGTCAGGTATTAATTGCATTGTTGGGTCTTCATTTCCTTATGAGGATTCTTGTGCCATATCAAGGTTGTATTAAATTTGATTTTTTCCCTCTATTGGTGACTCTCAATGTAATAATCCCCAGGCCTAGCCAAAACAAAACAAAAAACTGAAAGGTGAGGCGAAACTTTGCGAATGCTGTGGTATCTCATTGGTTCTGTTTTCTCTGAAGAATCCTCACAAATACACCAGTGTAGTTTGTGCGCCCAAGATGAACCAAAAATTGGAACTCAACTGACCAGCACGGTGACCCTCACTGGCCCAGCCTGGGTTGGAGCAACTCAGCCCCCTGCTCCCACAAAGTCCCAGGACAAGGCTCCTCTCACCTATCAGCCCAGAGCCCCTTCAGCTTCTGCTGGTGGGTACCTGCTGGGACTAGTACAGATGTGTAAGGCTTTCCTCCCTCAGGAGCCTGGACTCCTCCCATCCCGAGCAGTGACCTGGAATGTTTCTCTTCTTCCTTCTCCACGCCTGCCCTTCCTGCTTCTGAAGTTCAGTAAACCCAGACTTCACCAAGGGCTCTAGGAAGACACCTTGTCCCTGGGTGCACACTCTGCCCCTCTCTCCCCAGCCCATCATGTCAGGGTCCCAGAGCCCCCTCCCCAGGAAATAGTGCTCACAGCCCAGCTTTGGTCTTAGAAAGTTTATTGGTCCTGGGGAAAGGGAGGTGAACAGCCTTCCCTCTTCCAAGGGCCCATGAGACTTCACTGTTTGCCATTCCCATTGATGGGCCGGTTCACATGGTCCGGGGAGGCCAGGAAGGCCTTGAGCTTGGGCCGGGCACTGAGGCGCGCCACATAGGCCGAGAGCAGGGGGAAAGCATCCAGGCAGCTGGGAGCCAGGACCTGGTGGTTCAGCAGCAAGTCCAGCAGGTTGTAGTCGGCGAAGGAGATCTGCAGGGCAGGGGGTGGAGGTTTTCGTCAGTGGGAGCAGGTCAGGGGTAGGGGAGGGCAGTGGGGGGCAGAGCAGCTGAGCCCATCCCCTAGGTCTGTTCTACTTTGCAATAAATAGGAATGTCTCCCATTTGTTTCCATCTATGAGGAGAGGGTGGCGTGGAAGGACCTGGAAGGGGCAGGCTTACCTGGTCACCCACGATGAAAGCCTTGCCCCCCTGGTTCTTGGACAGCAGAGTCTCAAAAGGTTTCAGATGCCCAGGCAGTGCCTTCACATAGTCATTCTTGCCCGCCTCCTGCAGGAAGGATGCCAAGGCTGTGCTTTATCCTCCTATCCTCCCAGCATGAGCCTCTGCCCTACACAATATGCCCCTTCTGTTGTCTGCCTTGGAGAACCAAGGAGCCCAGAACGCTTCTCTGCTTGCTCCCCATACCTACCCTGTTACCAAGCCCTGCTCCCCTGAATCTTTCCCACCCTATTCCACCTTTCCTTCCCCGTTAGGATCTCCAAACAGATTACCGCAAAAACTTCAGAGCTGGCACCTGAGGATCCTTCCAGGCCTCCTGCTTAGATACAGCCCTGATTAGTCTCCTCAGTGGCCCCCACTGCCCTCAGGGGAGTCCATGCCAGAAGGTTCACTACCTTGAGGGCCTGGCCTACTGCTCTGCCACCATCTCTTCCTACTCCGTTCCCATAGCCACACCCACACACCTGTGCACACACACTTTGCCCCGGCTAATTGGCCCCAGGTTGCCAGGTGAGCTACAGACCTGCATCTACTGCTTATCTGAAACAACCAACACCTCCTTCCAAAACTGGTACAGAGCCTCTCCTCCAGCAGCCACGGGAACCACATGTTGCTGGATGTCTGTGGCCCCAGCCCTCTGCTATCACTCCTGCTACTTAGCTGCTTCACACCCAGGCAGTGAGGATCATCTTGTCCCTCAGGAACCTGATCCCTGGCCCTAACACCCTAACCGAGGAAGGGGTCAGCTAGAGCCACGTGAGGGCTGGGGCTGAGGGTACAGGAGCCCCTTTCTTTGTTCGCCCTCCAGAGTCCCCGTCAGGTGCCCAGGCTCACGTAGTTGGTGTAGATGAGGGTAACGTATTTGCCGCGGAGGTCCTCCACGCCGTCGTTCACCATGTCCACCAGGGCTGCCTCCCGCTGATCCTTCCCATAGAGCCCTGGGGGCCAGGGGAGCAGACGGCATGACTAGCACCTGATCTGATCCACCCGACTCTCCAGGCATGTGGGTGTCTGAGGGCCACAGCCTGGGAGGAGTGGGAGGGGAGTGCACAGACGGGAGGGGGAGCCTAACCCACAGCAGGAACTCAGAGTTCCTGAGAGGCCTCCTGGCACAGGCCAAGGCAGAGAGGATTGGACCTGTACTGTGGGCAAGCAGGGCAAGCTGTGTGTCTCTGCTTCTCCTCTGGACTGGACGGAAATGGGTGAGACTGGGAGGGCAGATGCTCAGGGTCTTGGCTGATGCCCACCCTCTGCCTGAACTGCCCGAAGCCTCAGGACTCACCAAGGGAGCGGCCCAGGTGGCGCAGGATGGCGTTGGACTGATACAGGGTGAGGTCTCCATCCTGGAACTTGGGAAGCTGCCCATACAGCTGCAGGGGGTGGGGGTGGGGTTCAGCTCTGTGAGGGAGGAGAGCCTGGCTGCCCCCACCATAGTCACAGTCCCCTAAGGCCTGACCAGGGTGTAGTCACTCACACAAGAAGCCTTGAGCGGGCCCTGTGTCCAGGACTCTACGGTCACCACCTCCTCCTTCCAGCTCTGGCCCTGGTCAGTCAGCAGCATGCGCATGGCCTCACCACGCCCTGGGTGTGAGGGGCAGGACAGGGGTGTGGGGACAGTGTGTGGACACCCAGCCACACAGCAACCCAGGGAGGGAAGGGAAGATGGGAACAAAGACTCCTTATGACCAGGTGACCAGGACAGCAAAGAAGGAGGCCTGCGACTGTAGTCACAAGCAGGAGCATCAAGGCTGGGCTGCGGGTGGTCCCCCCACAGGTGGATGGGGGACCGTGGCCAGCAGCCCTGCCTTTGCCTCCCTCCCTCCAGGCACTGGCTCCTACCTCGAACTGGGAAGTAGACAATGGTGTAGGGAGGCACTAGAGGAAACAGAAGAAGGTTGTTAAGAGTCTGGAAAGCGGGATTTGGGGACAGTGCTTTGGGATCCCGTCCCTGACCTGGACGCTCTGGGTCCCCCGAGGGCCCCAACTCCACCCTGGGTTCCCAGATCCCAGTCCCGGCGCTGCAGGTAGCCTCTCCCTTGCTGGTATCTCCCGGGAGTCCGGGCACTGCCCGGGCCGCACACTGCGAGCCCTCAGAGGACAGGCGGCGTGGACTCACTGCTTGCTGCGTAGCCGGCGGCCTGGATGCTGCAACGTGTAGCGTGGACCTCGGTTGGCGGCGGAACTCGGGTGCAAGCCTGGAGGCCGCGAGACCTTATAAAGCGTATCCCACCCCGCTCCGCCCCCAATGCTGAGTCATTACGCGGGCCACCTCCTCCTGCCGCTCCCTTCGCCCGCACCTCAATCTTCAGAGTTTGGGGGACCCGCCTTTCCAGGTCGGTCTTCTCCAGTGCACGGGTCCATAAAGGGAGCGGCGAGGGTCCCAAAGAGGCAGAAACTCCAGATTGGAGTTCGGAAGTCATAAGAGCTCTTCTGGATTCTTCCTCTTTGACACCCCTGCACCCTCCTCATCCCACCCCGAGAGTGACTGGCGGCCGGGAAACGTGGGGAAAACAACAACAAATCGCCATCGATAAATACTTGTGTCCTTACTGACAGGTGGCCTGCGTCCTTGCAGACGCTGAGGGAGAAGCTGCTAGGAGCTGTGTCACCGCGGCTGCCACTTTACACCCAAGCGACCCTGCGGGGTGAGGGGCATTCCCAAGCTCAGAGAGTCCCTCAGAGAGCTGGGCGGAGGCTGCCGTCCACCTCTGCCACTGCTGGGGGACCATAGAGGGGCAAGTTGGGGCCTCTGACCCAGCCACAGGTGCCACAGCACAGGCAAGCACCGTGAAGGGGGCAGCGGTGAAGTTCTGCCCTGGGAGGGTTGGGCCATGCTGCCATCCTCCTTGTGCCTCAGACAGGTTCTGGCTTGCGGGTCTGTGTCTCCCTCATCCCCCTACTCACCAGCAGCCTCCCTCCTCTTCCTGGTGCCCTCCTATCCTAACCGCACTGATCTCTGTTTCTCTTTTTCTTCCAAAAGAGCTTCATTTGCTCATTTGCCCTGCATTTTAAAAGCAGCCTGAAATTTTCCACCCCAATCTTCAATGTCCCATAAACAAAAAGCTACAAAAGGCAATCAAAAATGAAGCAGAGAAACTGTTGCAGTTTCAATATTTAAAAAAACCGGGAACCTGTCCCTTCTGTTACTTTGTCTCCTTGCAGGAAATTCTGTAGCCCTTTCAAAAATAACACCCACTTCCCGAACACACACTGTCCTACACAATCACGCAACTCTTTTCACAAACTCATTTTATGCACAAACACACACGAACGCAAAAGTATTCAGACTTTTATGGGTTTATGTGCCCTTCTCTCACACACACAAGATGGGGAGAAATCTCACCAGGCAGCACAAAGACTTCCTGCTCAGGCCCTCAGGGTCTGCTAGGAGCAGTCAGACCCCACCCCCGGACTGCCCTCTGGCTGTGGCTTCTTGTCCTGCAGGTCCTTCCAGGCCCTTTTTAGGGTCTTTTCTGTGTAAGTTGGGGCCTGACTCTGAACTATTAAAGTAGGAGGTGGAGTGGCCATAGGTGCCCCCTTCCCCTGCCACCATGCCTGCTGCTGTCCTAGCTAAGGTCTCTTTCATCTCTCCCACTCTGACTAAAATTAACTCAGCCTCCCTGTTTGCTCTGGGATGTGCAGGAACAAACATATCCCAGCTCTACCTGTGTCCCTGTGCTCAGTGGACCATGAGATATTTCCATGCTCTCCCCCTTCCCTCCCCCAGAGCGCTGTCCTGCCCCCTTCTGCCTGCATGTGAGAGACTGCAGGTACGTCAGTGTGCCTCTCAGCCCCTGGTCCATTGCATCGCTGGTCTGGGCAGGGACCCCTCTTAATCACTTGCATTCATTTCTGAATTCCTTCAGTCCCACATGTCACTCTGGCCACTCTGCTGATGTCTGGGAAGCCTACATCCCAGGTGTGCAAACACTCAATTTGCATAGCAGGACCAAGTGACCCTCCGGAAGCTCTGCACCCTCCTGGCCATATTCTCAGCTGGGCCAGGCCTCTGGCCCCATTTCTCATTACTAAGGGTTTGGACCATCTCTTCCTGCACTTACTGGATTTTGTTTTCCTCTCCTGGAGGAAGTGACCTTGGCAGTTTTCTTTGGAGTTGCCGCTTACTTTCTGTTGGTTTGCAGAATATCTTCATTTATTCTAGATATTAATCTCTTACTGGCTTTAGACATTACAAACACCTTTTTCTCTTCTGTTAACTACCTCTTAACTTTGGTCAAGGTATCTTTCATTTTTAAAAAATCTGTAATTTTAGCATAATCAAATGAATCGAGGTTCTCTTAGTTTTTGTTTGTTTGTTTGTTTGTGCCTTCTAGAAGGTGGGGGTTGGTACGTAAGTGTTAGCTTCTGAACCTTTAAGTCTTTCTTTAGCCCTGGATCTCCACATCTTCCCAGAACGCCTTTATTTCACATCTGCAGTGTGACTCTATCCAGAAGCCCTCCTGAGTGTGCCTTTAGGTAAGAATCCAGTTTTGTTTTTCTCCATATCTTCTCCAACCCCATGATCTGGTTTGTTGGGTGTCACATTCCCACTTACACCTGGCTCTGCCTGCTGGTCTCTGTCCCTACCATCCATAGTCAACTTCTCAGTTCTCGTGCTAAGGCCACAACTTTTTATTGTTCTGGCTTTCTAACTCTAGGAAGGAAAGGCACACCCTCCAGGCTCTTTCTTCTTTTCTTTTCTTTCTTTCTCATTTTTCTTTAAATTTTTTAGTTGTTTGTGATCTTTATCCATCTATAAAAATGTTGGAGTAAATTTATTGAAAAAGATTTTGTGTGTGGTACTAGGAAATGAACCCAGGTCCTGCACCCTGAGCTACATCCTGCTCTTATTTTATTTTTAATTGTGCACCAGGTTCTTATTAAGGAGCTAAATTATCCAGGCTGTGCTCTACTTGTCCTTTTGCTGCTTCCTGAATTTCACCTAAATGCAATCATGTAGTCAGCACTCTGGTATCTCATTCAACATGTTCTTATGAACTTTTTTAAAAAATTGAAGTATGATTTATGTTTAGTAAAATTTTACTCTTTTTCATGCAGGAGGGACTATGTAGTTGACAAAAACTGTTATTACAGTCAAGATAGAGCGCATTTCCTTCCACCTAGTAACTCCCCCTGCACCCATGTGATCAGCCCCTCCACCTCATCTAGCCCCTGGCCACCCCTTGGCTGTTTTGTCTCACAGGAGTTCTATCCTTTTCAGAGTGTCATGGAAATGGAATCACACTCATGCGTTGTGCAGTGTTTGGGACTCTCACTTCCTCTCACCTCCTGCCTCTGAGATTCATTCAGGCTTTTGGGGTGTTGCTGATTCTGTGCATTTTATTGCTGGGTCATGCTACCTCAACTGAATATCTCAGGCCCATTGTACATAAAGCCACCTGCAATTGTTATATGCAGAATTTGTAAACATAAGCTCTTACTGTCTTGGACAAATGCCTAGGAGGATGCTGAGTCACTCGGTAAGCGAGTCATATGTTTAAATTTAGTGTGTGTGTGTGTGTGTGTGTGTGTGTGTGTGTATGTGTAACTTTCTAACATGATGCCAGAGTGGTCTCACCACTTTACATTTTTTTAAAATATAAAACTATTTATTGACCACTGCTCACCATTATTTATAATCAAGTAAACAATATACAGTACAATATATTACAAAGTTTTTTTCCTGGCTTCTGCTGAAATAGTAACCCAAATACTGAAGAGACTGAGCTTATATGTAAGGAACAAGCTGGGGTCAAGAAAAACATGCAGGTTAAAAAAAAAAAAACAAAAAAAAAACATGCAGGGCAGTAATTTAGATTACAAGTTTGTTCACTCATTTGTTCTAGCAGGTCCTAAATTGTGAACACCTCTAGCCACTCAGTAGGTTTCCATGAGCCAAGTCTTAGACATCCATGAATCCTGACTTTTGAGTGCAGATTTCAGCTTGTTGTAAGGGAATGGGTCATGAGGAATCTTTAATGTTCCCTTGATAAGTCTTTCTTAGCTAATTCAAACAAACCAGGTTTTGACTAGTTGCCTTATTTGGGTGGGGAAGTTGTTGGTAGGGATATAATTTTTATTTTCAGGAATTTTGCAAGCAAACAGCTGCATTTTTGTGACTAAAGACAGATATGGATTCTGAGATGGCTGTTTTGAAAATACCCACTTTAAACTGTCCAATTGACCACAGAATCATATTTAACTTGAAAGGTTAAGACTTCAGGAAAACTTTCAACTTAACTGCAAGTGATTTATTTCTTAGGTTGCTCAGAATGATGGCATCTCAAACATGAGCTTATCACCTATGGTTTTTGTTTTGGTGAATGTTTAAAAACAAAACAAAAAACATTTACATAAGTATTTTATTTATACACACACAAACAAAAAACTCAGAAGCATGTGAGCTAAAAATGAGTTCTGTTTGAGTTTGACTATGGATAATTTCCCTAATATTTAGGAAAGCAGGAAATATATCAGGCTATCAATTGCTCTTTTCTGATAAAGGAAGCAACTGCAGAAAGCTATTTGTTCAAAGTAACCAGTGCTATTGATGCAAAACAAACAAAACCCAACAACTTCCCCAAACACTTGCAAAACCGACATATTAAACTTGATGTTCATTAGAATGCGTTTTTTTCCACACTAGTTGAAAGGGGTCTCGCGTGCCCCCTTAGGATGTCCTCTTCCCAATCAGTTCACTCACACACCGAGAGGTCCGGCAGGAGAGAGAGAGAGAGAGAGAGAGAGAGAGAGAGAGAGAGTAAGTAGAAGCAGAAGGAGAAAGAAGAACAAAGAAAGGAAGGTCCTTTTATCAGTTTGGGGTGGGCTATTGCTTACTTATGAGGAGTGAGCTACTTTTAACCTATCACAGGCCAGATTGCTTTTTGGGCCCAGTCCTGCAGACACAGGTTTCAACTTTCCTGGACCACTGTGGCCTTGCCGGGGAGGGAAACCAGAAATAAGGGCATGAGGTCATTTTAGGAGCCAAGATGTACCAGGAGAATGCAGCCTGTGAGGCGGCGTCACAGCATACTTTAACATGATCAATTCCCTAACACTAGTAAGTAAAAAAGCATGACCCATATTTTATATGTGTGTGTGTGTGTGTGCGTGTGTGTATATATATATATAAATGATGTAAGTTATTGAGCTTCATCTTCTGGACAAGAGTGTCAAGTTAGTCATTCTGTCTTCATAAAAAGCAATTGCAAT